GAGGAAAGGGGAGGTTCTGTGAGGTACACACTTGAAAAAGATAGTCCTGGTCGGGCTGATCCCGAATTCCACAGAACATCAGAATCACTCAAGAAGCTTTTTCCAAAATGCTCATGAGACTTCAATGGGACTGTGACAGACCTGGAAATTCACATTTTTAAGAGCTGTCCTTCAAAGCAGTCAGTCTAAAGAAACCCCCACTGGCCAAGTCTGGAACAATCGAGCATCAAAATAAACAATAATAGTAATGGATTTTAACTCTAAATAAGAATCCATGAGTCCATTCTAAGATATAAATAAATGGATAAACAAATGGGAGAGAAGGGAAACTTCTTTACAGCATTATACCAAATGATAAATGTAGAAGGAATTAATCGAATTAAATCATCACCATTCAGCAACCATAACAGAAATAAATGATTCCATTAAAAATAATCGATGGGTTCTGTCTTAGTCTGTTCTGGCTGCTGTAACAAAATACTACAGAATGGCTAGCTTATAAAGAACAGAAATTTATTTCTCACAGTTCTGGAGGCTGGGAAGTCCAAAATCAAGGCACCAACATGGTCAGGTGAGGGCCTTCTTCCTGGTTCAAAGCTTTTTACCATATCCTCACATCCTCACATGGTAGAAGGGGCAAGAGAGCTCTGTGGGGTCTCCTAAAAGGGCACTAATCCTAGTCATAATGGCTCCACTCCCATGACTTAAGTACCTCCTAAGGGCCCCACTTCCTAATACCATCAAATTGAGTATTAGGATTTCAAAACTAAATGAATGGGGGAGGGGGGTCACAAAACATTCACACCATAACAGGTTCTAAAGCTAGTTGATGAAAGCCTGATGAGAAATGACATAGTCACATGGTCTCAAAGTCTTTCCTTATAAGACACTTAGTAATTACAAAGAGTACAATAGCAACTCAGCAGGGGAGAAACAAGCAGATATCACCTTAACCAAGTGTGATCACTGTCATCATCAACCATTATGAATCAAGCCAACATCAGTCCCTCCCGAGGGGATGCATTGAGGACACCTCGCTTCTGTGGTATTCCTGATGAAAATGTATAACCTGAATCTAATCATAAGGAAAGATCCAAGAAACCCAAATTAAGGGAGATTCTACGAAATGACTGAACTCAAGTCAAAATGTAGTTTGCGGTCATTTTTCTTTAAAAAAAAAAAAAAATGGAGGGAGTGGTCAGATAAAACATTTAAACAATGAACAAGCCTAGGGCTCAAACACAGATCTTGAGAATGATTCATCAAGCAGCTCATTCAACTGCATTGGCAGCATCAGGATGGTACTGGCTCACCCAGGTGAGGCAGGGCTAGGTCACCCACAGCTGCTGGCCCCAACTTCTCAAAAGCTAAGCAAAAGGAGGCCCAGCATTCCTGGCTTCATAGCTGCTTTCCCTCTGCTGTTGAAGGGGAAGCTGCCAGTTCATGGAAGGATGGAAAGCTCAGCCTGCCACAGTGCACAGTGCCCTGTGCCCTTATTATCATGGCAGGCCTGTTTCTGAAAACCTAAGTCCACGAGAAATGTCTACACCCAAAAGCCAGCTGCACACAAAATGTGGAGAATCTGGACCCAGTTTACAGTGACATCTCCAACGTGGACAAGAACCCTGGAGGCCAACGTGCCCTAAACTCCAAACCTCAGGAGGATTGGACTGGGTCCTCCTCTATCCACTCTGGAATTATCAACTAAAGACCTGAGGGCTAAGGGCTCCCTAGACTGGCAGGACTGAAGACAATCTGCACAGCAATCCATCAGGACACAAACTTTCTCTGCTAGTCCCTCAGGGTGAAAAAGCTTTTGTTGTGAGAGACAAACACCTCAGGACTTGTTTCTGCATGTTCAGGCACCCACTGAGTGTGAGGCACCAAGCATAAGGCTGTAGAGACCAAGAAGTCAGAGTAAGACCCATGTGTGACTCAGGGCACACTTCCCTCTACTAACTGGGGAGTCAGGAAGGTGCTAGAGGGCAGGACCGGGCACCAGAAGGAAGGAGGAGGTGGGAAACTGGTCAGGAAAATGCTGCACAGAGCAGATGGTTTAAAAGTGAACTAGATGAGTATTCCAGATGTAGACACTCACCAGTTTGGGAGGAACGGCTGTGCTCTGAGATACGGAAACCACACTGCAAACTGGTATGGCCACAGCCAACAAGACTCTCCATTGCGGACTATCAACAGAGCCCTAGTATGTCCCCATTTCTGTAGGTGGTACCAAGACACAACTAAAATGGCTGCCATTGCAGGGTTGAAATGGTTGAGGTGGGAGTGGCTCCTGAACACCACAGATGTTCCGAGTGATGAGTAGGGCTGCTCCTGGGGAGAAATAAATTCTGCTCCAATAACTAGGTCTTCAGCAGCCGTTAAGGGAGTTACTCCAGTCTAGTGCAAGGATTTGACCTGCATGTCTAATGAAGATCTAAAATGTGCTCTCTGTAGGAGTTGCCCTACCCCTGCCCTCCTCTCCCCCTACACAAAGAAACTACAAGAAAATTTAGAATTATACACATTTACTCCTTTTCTTCGATTTTTTTCCATGCCTGAAAGGTATAAAGATTGTGGTTGTAGGATGTTAAAAACTTTTGTATCCAAAATTGCAATCTGCTACAATATACTGTTTGAAGACAAACAACCCACTCATTTCACTCCAAGGATAGCATTGGGAGCACCCTCTAACCCAGCTGGGGCACAGCCTGCCTCCTGGCCTCCACTGAGCAATGCAAACAGCCTAGGGAAAAGGATTCACAGAGCTAATAAAACTTCCCAAACAAGCTATGAAAAGGGAAGCTTGCTGGAGGGGAAAAAAAAAAAATGCACTGAAAACATCAAAAGAAAAGAAATGAGGGGTTGAGGAAGGAACAGATTTTTTAAAAATGCAAATCAGTGGCGGGAAACTTAAAAAATCAATGGCTGAGCAGAATCCGGCATCAGCTGAAGATCCGTATAGTTCAATCCCAGAAAAGGGGGCAGGAAGGGGTAAGGTGGCCAGCAGCTGAGCAGGGGAACCCAGGGTTCTCTAGCCCACCAGCACTGTCTCCCCCAGGCCTAGAGGTGCAGGTTCTTCCCCACCAGCCCCCACCTACTTCCATCAGAATACAGGGTGTGGGCAAGTGATCCTAGCAAAATCAAGAGAGGCATCTCAAACTTTTCTCCACTACAAAAGTACTACAAAAAAATAAACTTACAGTCCCCCTTCTGGACTCTTTCTTTGAACTTCAGTATATACCAAAACATCTTTATGTAGAATGCTTTTTTCCTACAAAAAGCAAGCAATTGTGAATCTGTCATCCAGCTGGAAAGGACTGGGCGGGGCAAGTGGCAGCAGATGGCCAGGAGAGGCTCTGCAAGCCCTTTCACAAAGGAGGGCTCCAATTACCCCTCTGCTCTGTGCCCCAAAGATGACCTCGCCAGCAGGCTCGGAGGAGGTGCCTGCGGCTGCCAGCAAAGACAGCTTTCCCAGTCCCCAGACCCACCCGAAACACCCGAGACACCCCCAGTGCCCAAGGACACCTGCATCCCAGAGGGCCCCGGGGCCAGGCCTGCCAGACCTGGTTAAGGTTGAGGAAACTCAGGAAGAGAAGAGGGTGAAGGCTGCAAAACCACAACACACAAGAACGTGTGAGAGGGAGTTGCAGGGTGGGTGGAGTGGGGGAGGTGTCTGAGCCAGGGCTTCTAAAACTTGAAAGTGCATGCAAATCATCTGGGAATCTTGTTAAAATGTAGATTCTGATTCAGCAGGTGTGGGGTGAGACACCCTCCCCACCCCAGATTCTGCACCTCAACGAGCTCCTAGGTGATGCAGTGCGGCCCGTGCCAGGCCTGTGGGCGTGCTTTGAACTGTGAGAATATAAGATGCCTGGCAGAAAAGCAACAACACTGAGGAAGGAAAACAACCATTAAGGCGAGTCAGACGAGGCAAGCCCACCCATCTCCATCATGGGAAGGGATACAGGGATGTACTCAGCTTTCCTGGAGGAATGCTTTAATTCTGGACTTTTTTCATTATTTTAGTGCATCCCACTGCATTCTCACAGGTTATTTTTATTCCTATTTCACAGCTGTGGAAGCCACAATAACCAAATTATTAGTGAAGCTGGACTCCCCGCCCTTTGGGTGTCTTACCAGACCACAGGCCTCCTGTGACATATGGCAGCAACACAGACCACAGCAGTGACACAGAGGCTGATCCTGGCCCAGCAGACAATGGGAGGAAAGCCACAGGCATGGGAGGCCCAGGGGATGGCCGCTGGGTGGAAAGACAGATAAAGGACTAGACACCCACCTTGAAGAGGCACAAGTGAAAAGATGGTTTTGTCTCCTGGTATTTATAACAAAATAGAGACAAAATTTAAACTGACGCCCCTCCCCACCCCAGGAGAAAAAGGAACATTTAAATACAAAGGGTTATCTCTTATTGTTTTGGGTGGTTTTTTTTTTTTTTTTCAACTTTTAACAGCCTGATCTCACTTTCCAGGGAGATAAAATAAAGAGCTTTACTTCCTTCCCCCAGGTTCAATTTTACCAGAAAGGGAATGTGGCGTTTCCAAGGAAAAAGTGATTCCAAGGTTTGAGACAAAAAGATTTATCAGCGGGCTCCTGATGCCACAGCCAGACCCTGAGAACTGACAGTGTGGGTTAGAGTCAGGGTGAGCGGGGCTCCATGTGAAAACCACAGACATCTGTGAACCGTGGAGGTGATCACTGCCACCTCCAATCCCTCAAGAACCCATGGAAGAAATTCCCCCGAGGAGGGATGCCCTCAGTTAATCACACCTGATGGCATTTCTTCCAAAGAATATCCTGAGTTGGCAAGAGGGGTTCAGGCTAGTGACCAACCGTTTTGGAGTTAGATTCATAGAACTGAAAGTCACAGCTAAAAAGTTTCCAAAGTTCATCTAAGCAACTCTTCCATTTTCCAGAGACCGATGCCCACGGAAATGAACAGCCAAGGTCACCCAGAGATCAGCGGCAGAGTGGCGACTCACCCCCAGCCTTCTACTTCCGTGTGCTTTTCCGGAACAACGTGTTGCCTCAATCATGACCTTTCCCAACCTCGTTGGGGGCCAACTACCCTGAAAGCAGAATCGTATTTCAATGTATTTGACAATGCATTTTGCTGAGTCTCACACTTTTTTGTACAACTTTTGATGAAATGAGGACACTCAACGGGGCCACCCTGTCCAGGGCTGGGACTTGCTTCCTAATTTGTGAGACTCGGCTAATGAGAGTCTGATAAGACAGCCAGGCTGATCTCACGATGCATGGGTTTTGAAAGGGCAGAATAAAACGCTAAACACAACAAAGCTGGGAGAGCTTCGAGTTCTCATACAAAACAATTCTCTGTTAAAGGCAAGTGACTATTACAGACTCTGGCTGCGGTGCAGAAAGCAAGAGATGGACCTATGGGTCGGGGCGGGCACACCTCCAGAAATGGATGCCAGAGAATGGTGCTCAGCTCCACCTGAAACCTTACACTTGAGCAAAATTAGCCGCCAGAGGGAAGCTCATTTTGCCCATCAAAAACTGGGAGAAAAGACATTCAGACGTGAAAGCGGAGGGGATAGTTCCTCCAAGTTGGAGAAAAATTCCCACAACCATACAGAGACCAAAATAAAAAGAAACTTTTCTCAACCACCCCTACCACTAAATGCTGACAACTCTTCCTATAGAGACTTCATGGAGAAGAACCAGGAAGTAAAGGAAAAGCATACTTTGTGCCTGGGAGTGACTTTTTCTGTCAAAGACCCAAGAGGCAAGTGCTCCCAAAAGTGCTTGTGCAGCTCACCCTCTCCCCATCTCTCTCCCTCTCCCCTCCCTTCTTTCTCCCCTCCCCCCACCCACTTCCACCTCTCTCTCACACACCCTCAGTGGTCATAAACAAGTGAGACCTCTCTCTCTGTCCCACAGTACATGTCACCGTCATTCTGATCCAATAAGAGGGCTAGACCCTCTCTAAACAAAGAGAAATCTCGACACCACTGGGAAGATGGGGTTACAGATGGGGGAACTGAGGGTGCGGTCAGGGGACTGCATGCCTTTGGCTCAGTGGAAAGATTCATGTCTCAAGGGCTTCCACTGGCGCTGTGAGACCGCTGCTTGCTGCCTGCTGCCTGCTGCCTGAAATTCAAGAGCCTGGAGATGGCAGAACAAAGGGATATGGCTGTGGCTCAGGCGGCGGGGGAGGCGACAGGCCAGCCTGCCAGCAAGCAGGCTTTTCTGCAGCTGAGTGCTCGAGTGAGGAACAGGGAACACTGGGCTGAGCACTGAGGTACAAAGGAAAGTGGGGGCCTGCAAGGCTGACAACAACCCAGGCACACGCCTGGCCCCCACCCAAGGGCGCAGCTGGGCCGGAATTGCTCAGGCAGAACCCACTCCCAGAGGCAGTGGGCAGGTGGCTCACAAGAAAGGCACAGGGCACTCCCGCTCCTTGTCCAGCTGCTCAGAACTCTTACCCAGGGGGTTCCAGACACAGCTTGGGGACTTGAGCGGGGGAGATCTTGACAGAGGTACTCGCAAAGGGCAGGGCCCCTCCTGACCTGGCAAGCGGGCGATGGGGGGAGGCATTGAGAGAGGTCAAGGCCCAGGCTAGATAGCTCACCCAGCCTCAGAAAACACATGAGGGACCTGGGAGTGGCTAAGACCTGTCCACCAAATGACTCTGATTAAGCATAATGGGTTCCTGCTGCCAGCAACAATAGCAACACTGGCCACCCGCTCTCCACCTCCCCTCCCCCCAAAAAGATCCACAATGGGAGGCAGCAGGAAACCAGGGCAGAGCCCATGAATAGCTCCACTGTCAGTCCTCAGGCCCCACCTCCTCAGCCCCACAGGTCAGTCCTTGCTGCCACCCAGCCACAATAGAAACCTCTGTGCTGCGAAGGCCCCAAGCCCCACACAACAGAGCTGTGAGCATGGGAAGCTCTGGACTTCTCACAGGGCACCATGTAACAGCAGCAATGGTGGGAGAGACAAGGCAGCGACACAGGCCTCGAACCCAGCAGGTCAGGGTCATGTTGACCACCTTTCCATTTAGAGTGGCTCTCTGCCCATCACCCCTGAAATCTCCCTGCTTCTTGCCCTGCTCTGCCCAGATGTGGGGCAGCCACAGCCACACAGGGAAAGATTATGGTTATCCCAGAGGCACACAGTGGCCACAAGGATGGGAAAACAGCCAGAGAGCCCCTAGGACTCCCCAGAGAATGCCAGCAGAGGGCTCCAACATTACGCCTTCTCTTACACACGGGCCTCCCTCGCCCAACCCATCTACCTATCTCAGGAAGAAAAACTCATCTGCCCTCACCCGCTGCTTCTGCTCTGAAAGGAAGCTGCCTGCTCAAAACAAAAAACCCATCCATTTATTTACACCAGGTGCCTTCTACACAGGCTTTTAAAATCACAAGGTGGCTGTCAGGCCCAAAGCAGCCTGAAGCAGCATGAAGTTGGGGCTGCAGAGAAGGCAGGAGATGGGGGAATCCCAGGGCGGACAGGAGACCTGACCGTCACATCAAGCCCTGAAACTGAGGGAGAATCTGCTCTACTAAAATCTGATTCCCAACTCTACCTTGTTTCTCGGCCATGACTCCCCTCATACCCTGCTCAAGTCCTGCAAACTCCCGCAGCCGCTCAAACTTGTGTAATGAGAAGCTTCCCCTCATCTCATACCGTATCACACTCTGGCTGCCTCTTCACTCTCTTATATGACACTTTTGGGTAGAAAGGTTTCATGGCCCACAGGGCACAGTCAAGGGCTGCAAACAACAGGTGCCACGGAGACTGGCTGACCTGAGTTGAAACAAAGACAGACTACAGTGGGAACCAGCACACCAGCACCCTACTGTAGTCCCCCCAGCTCTAGGCTCCAACTGCAGAAATACAAGATCGCACCAAAAGAAAACTCAAAAAACTTTCATTCTCCTTCTTGTAATCAAAACTGTGTACTTCTTTTCCTGTTAGCACCTAATGCCTGGACTCCTGGTCTAGCCATTTCTATGGAGATATGAGCATATACAAAGCATTCCCAGAGCCTGGCCTGCACAAACAAAATACTGGAAGCAACCTCGATGTCCATCAGTGGGGGCTGATAAAGTGAATCATGCTTTACCATTCAGAGGACTAACATGCCGCTGTTCAAAAGAATGGCCTAAAATGTATGTGCTGAAATGGAGCAAACCCAAGATAAACTTTAGAGTAAAAATCAGAAGGGAAGAGCAGCGTAATTAGCATACCAGCACAGGAATAAACAAGTGTGGAGTATAGAGATGCTTGACTAGGCTCCCAGCATGGGGTAATGGAGGCCCCAGGCGAGCAGAACTGAAGAGATTGGGGATGGAAATGTCAATTTTCACTGTATACTTTTATGTGTTTTGCATCATATATACATTTTGTTAAATAAAAAAGGTAAATTGACATTTAAAACCCCTAAAGTTTCTGGCTGGAGGCACCAAAACGTTTACATGTAGCTCTCTGCAGGCGGTTTCTGGTACCTCTCTAGAATGAGGAGCGGTTGTGGGAGGAGGGGAAAGGAGCGCCGGCCTCCAGAATAAAGACTTAGCTAGCTCCCCGCTCACCACTCCGCCCCAAGTCCCAAAATAGAAAGTTTTCCTACAAAGACCAAGAGCAGGTCCTGACAAAGGCAGAAAGGAAACCTGAAGTTATTCCACATAGAGGACCATCTGACCTTGGGGGTATTACAGCCTCACCATGTAGCCTGGTCGACTCCATGGTGAGGCTGTAATACTCCCAAGTTCAGGCAGAGGAGGGAGGGTTCTGAACCACAGGCACCCCAGGCCTCAGCAGGGACCCTCCTCAGGACCCTCCCTAGTCATGAGAGGCTCAAGGTCCTAGTGTTATAAACCCATCCCAATTTTAGCAGCTAAAGAAATCTATTTCAACAGATTTCTAGGCCTGGCCCAATTCCAAGGACAGGCTAAAAACAGTTTCTCAAAAATTCCAGCTCAAAACCCCAATCCCTTAACCACTAAACTCCATGTACCTTTCAGGAAATGGAAACTGCAATATACAGTTGTGAGATGGATTTGTATATTTATTCCTTACTAAAAGGATACATGTACGTTTTTGAAAAGCTTCCTTTAATTGACACATCAATAAATACTCTGCACTAGAAAAGCACTGATGTATTTCCTCCAAGTGATTTTCCCTCTAAGGAACAATAAAATAACCATCCCCAATCACTCCTGCTTCTCAGGGGCATGACACATGTCTATGAGAACCAGGACTGGTCAGACCTCTTGGGCTAGACCATTTGGGGAAAAAGGAGTGGTTCATGAATGGAGCTCTTTCTACCTAGTGGAACTTCCCTGCCTCACCTCCAGGTCACCACAGCAGGCACTAAGAACTCCTAATGACCTCAAGCTCACAGATGGCCAAGGCCACAAAGAAAGAAGACTCCAAAGAAGGAAGGTGTATGTTTGGCTCTCTTATCTCATAAGATGCTTTCTTAAGAAGCTGCAAAATTAAGAAGCACAAATGAGATTTCGCAACAAGTAGAATTTTTTCACGCTGGCACCTGGAGCCCTCATACCTCAGCTGCTGGGAACAAGTTCCTGTGTCCTCATAAGCCAGGTCCACTCCAGCACAAAGCCCTCAGCAGCTGTTGCCTAGAATTCTACAACCCTCATCAGACCAAGACCAGTCCTTTTCTGACTGTCTTCCTGCAAGAGTGGGCAGGAAGGCACTGATCCTCGACACACCAAATCCTGTGATACCTCAGGTGGCGCCTGCCCCACAAGCTCATCTATCTGTCTTCCCACAGAGAGAACTTCAGGACTGGCCCAACCCACCCCTATATCTGGGTACGTACCACTCCCTCCTCCTTGCTCTCTCGGGAATGTATACCCCACCACTACCACCAACTTATTTGTTGACATGTCCCCGCAAAACTTATCCGTGTTTATACCATTACTGTATTTCACAGGAAGCAGCTAGGACAACAGCAGACAATGACTGTGATGGGCAGGACGGCCACCCAGAGCTGGCTTCTGTCACTTCTGTCACCCTTGCAGAAGTGGAAGCCAGTGAAATCTTCAGGAAAGGGGGAAGGCTCCCACCCACA